TGGGTGTATACATCTTATTCTTAGCCACCCACACGCATACACACACAGACACCCACACCCTGACCCACACCCACACTCTATCGAATGAAAGCGCCTCTTGGTGGATCTCAAGAATGAAAAAACTTTCAGTAGTTTATAGATTTTTTATTCAATCTTTTCATTTCAAGTTGTTTTGATGGTCGTTGGAAATGAGGCTCACTTCATATAGAATAAATGGTCAGGATAAGAATAAATTTATTATTTTACAAACGTGAAAAAAATTTAAAAAAAGTATTTTTTTTCTTGTTATCAAATCGATAGCATATTCTTTCATAACGGTCACCTGAATTGATGAATTGAACTCGCCGATGACGGCCGAGACTTCCCGCATGGACAAGTGCGGTATCCTGGAAGTGATGATATAGAAGGAGACTAAAATAAAATAATTTAAAATAATATGTATTTTGAAAGATTTTTTGAATAATAAATTATATATTACATTTTCAAAAATGCCAGCATCACGATCTCGTTGAGAAGGTGTCGGTGAAACTAAGAATGATGACCCATAACGACTTCTATATGAGACAAGATAATCTCGACCAACAAGTTCTTCAAAGCGGCGTGCTATATGTGCGTCAGGAGTTCCATATGGATTAGTTTTATAGTATGGTTGTGGATATTTAATAGGACAAGGAGCCTGCGCCGGATGTACAATTACTTGACGCTCAGGTTGACGTTCGTAGGGAATCCATCGTTCAATAATAATTTTACCTAAATAACACAATTAATAATTGAAAAGAAAACTAAAAATAAGTCTTTTACGTTGTTTTTCTGGAAGAGCTGGATAGCGTTTGATGATAACTGATCGTGGTCGAGGAGGTGTAGGAGGTAGATAATGAGTAACTAAAATATATAGATCGATGCAATTTAAAATATTTAATATTTTTTATTTGTTTAAACCTGTTTCAGTGGGAATAGGTTCTGGTGGTGTCGGTGGTCGTTCACGTAAGATAAGTGGAGGTGGTGTAGGAGGAGGTGATGGACATTCATGTATGATAATTGGTGGAGGTGTTGGTGGCTGTGGTGCACGCACTTCTTTAATAATGAGTGGCTAAAATCATCAGACAAATATTCATAAAAATGCATTTATAAATATATACATGTGCTCTCTTACTCCTGGTGGTGGAAGATCTGGTGGTTTCAAAAATCGAATAGAAACTAATTGTTCATTTGTTGCTTTACTTTGAGGCATTACTTCTCGAATAATTTGTGTCTTAGAAATCGGATGAATATCTTTGGCTATTTTATTAAGATATTCGTTCGTTTCTTTTGCAGTCTTTGTATAAACTATCACATTATCAATAGAGTCATTAGCTCTTCCTATACTGTGAGATGACGAATAATTATTTTGATAAATATCATTAGTAACATTGCCATTATAATAATGATTTTGATGAACTGAATCATATAACGTGTGGTTGTTTTTAGCATTGGTACTTGATATACGAGCTTCAATTTGCTCCACCCTAAATATGTATATATGAATTTATTATATTAATAAGGATTGTTAACTCTTACGTTTGAAATTGCTCTTTATCAGTTTCTTTAATTATAGGACTATTTTGGTCATTTGCTGCCATTTTTCCGAATCGATCGATAAAATACAAATAAATTTTCAAAGTTAAAATAAAATGGAACTAAAACATATAAAGATAAACATCAAATATGTCTTTATTCATATTCTTTTTAATTTCTGAATTAGAAAA